ATGCCCTTCCACACAGCAGACCTTCAACAAATATCTACTCGATTAATAATTTATGAAACTTTTGATAGTGTGTTAGGCCAATAAAAACAATAAATACTTGTTGATGACTTGATGACCATTAACTGATTGAGGTTTAAAAGTGATGACACCATGAATGTATACTTTAGGAAGACTAATCAATCCTGTTTTCCATACCCATGAATGCTGACTCTGCCAGGAGAGTTTTAGGTACACTAAAACCAGTGTAGCTTACATTAATTACAAAAACTAAAAGAAGTTTCATTGATGTGTAGAATTTATTATGGTTTAATGACCACTGCTTAAAGTCTGTTTAAACCCCATTTGTGGACAAATTTACCTTGAATTGCTGGACAATTATCTATACCATGTTCAAAAGGCAGTAATTATTTCTAGCTGAAAATTGAGAGGTATGGAACCGAACCAGCTGTGCCCATCCAATATACCTAATAAATTCTGAAAACCCATATTGCCCTTTCTCAGATCCACTTGATATTTTTGCAGTTTTCTCTTTTGATTAAAAGGAAATGGTTCCATTAGCAGGAATAAAGAGAGTACATACTTAAAGGTGAATCTGAGCAATAAGAATTCTATCCTTAAATAAACAATGTCATAATCTTCCTACAAATAACTGATACCTTTGCTAATTTCTCAAAAACAGGAAAAATTAACATTCAATCAATAAATACACTTTCTTGAAAATGTATTATTACTAAATCAACTACAATGCTTTGTTTTGTATCAGGTCCATGTGATACATCAGAAAAACTCTAGATAATGTGTTTTAAAAATTTTCCTTTTATCTTGACATCATTAAATGATTGGGAGTATTCACCATTAAGTTCTTTAATGACAATATCCTTTCCCTTACAAATGGCTTTGAAGTCTTCTACCGCCTATTGCAAGTATTTGGATATTTCCCCAGCAAGGGTGGGCAGGAAGCCAACACAAGCCACCAGGTGCCAATATTACACCTGACAAATTAGCCACACGACTGGAAAAGGGTGGGTCCATCCTCCTGTTAGACGTTCATTTCCTCTCATTTTCTCATGAACAGGAAGTCATTGGAATGGGGAAAAAAGCTTTCCTTAAAGACCCATATGACCAAAGGTCTAAACTTGTTAACTCTTTGCTAACAAATAACTTGGAAGCGAGTTCAAACTAATCACAAGACTTCATTTACATTGACCTTTTTAACCCCGCTGAGGACCTGGGTTCCAAGATGCTGTGATTTAGTTATACTCGGGGTGTTCTAAACAGGTGGGGATGCCCTGGGATGTCATATGGAATCATTACAGCTGACATAGGAGGCAGACCAACCTCAGCCCTTTCACAAAAGCCAGGAGCCTGAAAATTAAGAGGGTCTTGACAAGATCCAACCAAAGACATGGGTTAGGGCCAGAACCCTATATAATTGACCCAATTCAACAAGATTGACTTGAAGAATTTAACCAGAGTTGACTGAGATTCCATAAAACACTACACCTATTCATTTAATACTCAGTTCGATTACACACTGACTTTGCCTCCTAAAGATCAGTTATTCAGCTTGATGAGGGTTTAATAAAGAATAATGAGAGGAATGTTTTCCAGCTGAAAAGTAATTCAAAACTTAGAGATGTATACTTATACTCATCTTAGTGCCATCTCAAGAGATAAATACTATACAAGATAATGCATACATAATAATAATTAAATATTTCGTATATACATGATTTTAAAAAGTACTACAAAAATGACATACTGTACAATGTTCTACAACTTGCTTCTTTCACCTAACCACATAATACTGACATCTGCTCTCTACAGCCTATATAGTATATTCATTCATTTTAACTGATAAAGCCAATCAACTCCCTTAATTTTTTACCCATCTGATAGGTAGAAAATGGAAACTCATGTTCTTTCATTTTACATTTCTTTTACCACTAATAAGGGTGAACATATTTTTTAAATGTTTGCTAGCCATTGCAATTACTCCTGGGGATTGCTTATTTTGTATCATTTGCCCATTTTATGAGTTATTTATTTGTTTCTCATTAACTTGTGGGCACTCTGAATAATGGATAGTAACACTTTTTTTCTGTAATGTATAACTTAAATATTTTATCCCAATCTGTCATTGCCCTTTTAACTTTCTTTATGATTTTTTTAAATAAAGTCTATTATGTCAGATTTTTCTTAATGGTCTCTGAATTTTCCATCTTGGTTACAAAGACCTTCTTACCCAATACTATTTTTTTTAAATGATTCATTCATAGTTCCTTCCAACACTTGTATAGATTTGATTTCCATGTTTAGAGCTTTATCCCATCTGGAATTTACTCTTGTGTATAGTATGAGTCCAGATGGAGAGCCAGTTGTCCCAGTACCACTTACTGAACAGTCTATTTTTTAGCCACTGATTTGAAATGCCTCCATATTATCTGTTAAGTTCCTCTATATTCTTAGGTCTGTTTCTGGATGCTAATCTTTTTGGTTAGCTAATTTCTCTATCAGCACATTTGTGCATGCATTTCATCACTTACAATTATGTATTGCTTAAGATGAATAGTTTGTGTTAACTACTTGGGTATGTCCCCACTCATTTTAATTTTTTGTTTGTTTGCTTTTCATGGCTATTGTCATGTGTTGCCCTTCCAGGTGAGTGTTAGAATAGGCTGCTCAAGTTCTATTAAAAATCCCACTGGAAATGGGATTGCATTTTGATTTATAGACAAACTGAGTGAAATTTTACATGTTAAATGCCATCTGATTGGAAGCAACTAACATTTCATAACATAAACTATTTTACAATGCTTTTCGAAGTGAAACCAGTATAACAAGTGGGATGCTATGCCATTATTCTTGTTATATCAAGACTTTCACGGGATAAATGGAAACACTTCTTTTGGATTGGATGCTCATTCGACCAAACTAACAATTCTATCTAGAAAACTATAGTGTATGTAATGAGCATACAGAGAGGTATGTGGCAGAGACCCTGTCTTTGGAAACGTATAACCTAGTTAACCAGATAAGATATATATATACATAGACATAAAAGATATATTGATATATGCAATTTACATACTGATATAAGGGAAAAAAATCCTCCCACTTTATTACCTAGACACAGGCCATGTGTTCTAATGTCAAAGCCACTGGTTGAAAAGTGAAACCACTGGCTGAAAAGTGAAAATAAGGCCACTTATTAAGAATCAGATGAGTTATGTTGCCATTAAGAGCATCAAGAGCCGAAACCGGTTTGGCTCAGTGGATAGAGCATCAGCCTGCGGACTGAAAGGTCCCAGGTTCGATTCCGGTCAAGGGTAACTCTCTATCTCTCTCCCTTCCTCTCTGTAGAAAATCAATAAAATATATTTTTAAAAAAAAAGAGCATCAAGAGTTCAAAGGCAGGAGATTCAGGAGAGGAGAGCTAAGGGGGTCTCTGTCTCTTATTTTACAGAAGAGAACGTTAAGGCCTGGTCAGGTTAAGTCATAGAGCTAAGCAGGAACAAAAAACATCAGGTCTGCTGATCCCTATTCCAATGACCTGTCCACTGCATCAAGCTCTCACTCCTTGACACATTTATTTGCAGACCGTTTTAGAATGATCTAGAAATCTGTATCTGTGAGGAAGAGTCCTTTAGAAACCCACATTTATAACTGTGTCAATACTACAAACTAGTTTCCCCAAATCAGTTAAAAATAAAAAGGTTGCATTCAAACAGCTCTATTACAAGGATTTCTTTTGATTCCTATGACATCAAATAACAGATATTAATGATGTTTCACTTTTCAACCAGTGGTTTTGACATTAGAACATATAGCCAAAAGGTTGCATTCAAACAGCTCTATTACAAGGATTTCTTTTGATTCCTATGACATCAAATAACAGATATTAATGATGTTTCACTTTTCAACCAGTGGTTTTGACATTAGAACATATAGCCTGTGTCTAGATAATAAAAATGGGAGATTTTTTTTTTTTTGCCCCTTTAGGCAATTCATCCCCTTGTCACATTTTAAAGTAACAAACCCCAAGACCCACAGGAATCTTTACACCTGTGGAGAAGAGATTTCTAAAACTCAACATCAAATCCACTTTTGATTTTCCCTTGAGTTTGTTTCTGTCAATGTTAGGCAGGTAACACATTTCAGCTTTTAAGCTGTGAAGTGATCTTTTTTTAGGGGAAAAAAAATTGCATTCACAGCTTTAATCTTATATTTCCATGTGTATTGAGTTAAATGTTGTAAAACTATCAATTCTGTCAAAACCTAGCAAAGAGAAAACAGGACACCATGCAATCTTAATGTCCAAACTGACTAGTGATTATCAGAAATTAAATGTGCAGGAATTCCAAATCTTTTTTGATCTGAGATGTCTAGATAACTTTTGTTTTTCCATAATTGTACGAGGTTTCTACATAGTATTTAGGAATAAATTATATTGCAATTGATGTAATTAACTCTAATAATCCATTAAAAGTCAGTAGGAGGGCTATTCAAGTCAATAGAAAAGAAGGAGTATATTATGAAGGTGTTATTAACCTTTACAGAATTTTACCAGACATTTTCTTTTCTTACATAATAAATACACAGTGGTTAGGAAGGCTGTCATTATAATTTAATGTGAACAATAGTCCATCACTTCTTTTCCAATGCAACCCTTAACTAATTCCATGTACGGTGCACAAGTGAAATGAAACCTTTTCTAATCAGGGTACAGGCATATCAATCATCTGTTAGTCCACGATAAAAGAAGAGGAAGAGAACTGGGTACTAGCAGAAGTTTCAGACCCACCTTTTCTTTCAGTCGACAAGTCTCCATTTCTGATGGCTGTCTGTACATTGCAACTAATCAGAGGTTAAACAGCCATGTAGAAAGTTCTAGCAACCACTGATGGCCATTGAAAGCATGGCTACCTGTACCCGTGAGCATCAAATGAACTTTGGAGCACTCGGAACCTTTTAAATGAAGTGAGACGAGAAACACTTACCTTCACAGCATTCCACATGTCCACACTGAAGGAGCCAACCTCTACAGAGCTGGCCTGGCCATCCTTGGGACTCCAGGTCACAGAGCAAGTCCTGGGGGCTCCACTTGCTTCCCACGCCCTCTTCATTTCCAGCAAAACGAAGTCGGGAGAGCACAGTTTCAATCACAGGTGACCAAACAAACCCACTGTCTTTTTCTGAAAGGACTGTCACCTCTCACCAGGCCCCAGTCCTGCTTTTCCAATGTGATAATGAACATGCTTTTCACTAACATTTGCATGAAAGGACACTTCAGTGTTAGTCTTAGCCAGTTATCCTGATAGAATTTATTAATACAGACTGTTAGCTTCTCCTGGCTTCACATACGCATCACAGCAACTGGCCTCAGCTGTGTGGACAGCAAGCGTTATCAGGAATAACACCGTCCACACAGAGAATAGCATAGGTGTAAAGTTTCAGGGGGGGTGCGGGGGGAAAGAGCCCAGCACCTGGAGTCACAAGGCTTGAGATGAGTACAGGCTCGGCCACAAACTGGCTATGCGACCCTCAGAATACCACTCCTCTGTCTTCTCATCTGTAAAGTGGGTAGAAAAAGATCCCACATCCTAGGGCTCTTATTAAATTAGCCCCATAACATTAGACATAAATTAGACAAACATGAGGAATCAGCCTCGTAAACCAGAAAACACTGCAAAGTCTGAGACTGTGTTTGCTCAAAGTCACCGGAGCTCCCAAAACCAAGAGGAAAGGGATAAAGCAATCATTCGCAAACTCCCGTGCGCGCCAGCTTCATCTCGGGACTTATTTCAAAGTGCACGTGCCCGTTTCCCAGGTGATTCGGATTGAAAGCATGGGCTGAGAAACACGGGGGATAAGGGGGCAGCTGAAAACGGATTCCCATTGGTTCATCAGATATTTTAAGCACGAGGAAGCCTTAGAGGATACAAATAATTACAAGATATGGCTCAATGTCGATCTGCTTCAGTTCTACCTGGAGAAAGAGGACAAACATCCAGAAATAGATAAAATACAAGGCTGTGTGTGTCAAAGCCGTCAAGGCAGTCTGTAAGTAAGGCCTCGTCTTCAAGTTGCTACCCGGAGCCCCGATAAGCATAATCTGTATTCCCTGAAGGAAACTCTGGTTCGCTCGGACGCCTCAAGGACACATCGTTAGTGCTCTGTGTTCCCTTCTGCACAAACCTCACTCCTAGGCCTCGAGGGTCCATGTGCGTCCTGGAGTCTCAGCCAGGAATCGAGGAGAGCGTGTGTGGGTCCCATCCCCTCTCCCTGAAGTGGCATCTCTTCCTCATAGGGTTCACCTCAGCTGTGGTACAAAGACCCCTTTTCATTCTGGAGAGCTCCTGTTTCATGTGGTCCAGCGACAGAGCGAACAAATCCACCAGAGGCATGGGCAGCCACAGTGACTGGAATCCGAGACTTCCCCTCTGAAGGTTTCTCTTTGAATCTCCTCCCCAAGGCCAGTCCCGGAGAGAGAATGTGGACACAGCAAAGCAGTGGCTTCAAAGTCACAGCAACGTCCTATGTGCCTGGGAGGAGATGGAGAATGTCACCTTCCTTTTTGCTGAAACTCCATCGTGGCTTCACAGGCCGCAAGAACACAGAGAAAAGAGACCTGGTCCGCGAGTCAGGAGACCTGGGTTGTCGCTCTGCCCCGCTGGTGATGAGCTGGGTACCCACCTCTTTCTTTGGCCACATCCTTTCCCAAAGAGAACAGTTCAGGAGGCCAACATCTCCTCTCACTACTTCACAGGGTTAACGTGAGGACTGGATGAAAAAGTTCTTTGAAAAGTAAAAAGTGTCGCCCTAGCTGGTTTTGCTCAGTGGATAGAGCGTTGGCCCGAGGACTGAAGGGTCCCAGGTTTGATTCTGGTGCAGGCTCCATCCCCGGCCCTGGTCAGGTGTGTGAGGGAGACAAGCGATGGAGGTGATGTTTCTGTGTGTCTCTCCCCCTCCCTTCCACTCTCTCTAAAAATCAATGAAAAAATATCCTCAGATGAGGATTAAAAAACACACACACACAAAAACAAACAAGAAAAAAAGTGTCATCATGAAATACAAGAAATGAATATGAAAGCCCCAAAGTGAAAATGTCAACCTCTGATTATGCGATGTGGTTATGAATGCTGCCCCCCGGTTCACCAGGGCTCTCTCTGCTGCTTTGCTCTGAAGGTACAGGCAGGTCCTCTGCTGATCACTACCTTTGATTCCCCCGCAGAAAAAGACTTGCAGGGCTAGGTCCTCCAATTGGATTCTCAGGGACGCGCGTGCACAGGTGCGCTTGGTTCTCTCCAGGCCTGCAGGTGCTTGGAGCGCTCCTACACTGCGCATGCTCTCCACGCCTGGCCTTGGCCTGACCACGCAGACCTGGGGGGACCCGAGAACCCCTGACCCCCGCCGCATTCATGTGACACTTTTGTTCGGTGCTACAGTCACTGGAGAGAGGAAAAAAATACCTCAACCAGGAAATAAATCTTTTGCTGCTATTTCATCCTCCCCTCACGTGGCGCTGGAATATCGCTTTAAAGGACATTCTTGTGGCCTTTCCAGTTCTTTTCCTTTAGGTCTGCAAACAGGAGTAGCCTGTCCGAGGGGAAACTACTCCCCAGCAGAGCCGTTCTTCAAAGGGGACTTCTTCGGGCAGGAAAAGGGAATGTCTGATACGGTGGCTGAATAAACAGGCTCATCAAGCCCCGTGCCAGATTGGAAAAGCAGGCCCTCCGCGCGCCAGCCCGCCAGCCATGCTCCTCCTGTGCGCTCGCGCCCTGGCTCTTCGGCTCTGTCCTTCTGTCTCCCTGTTTCCTCTCCCATTCTGTCATCTTCTTTACCAAATGCCTGATGTCCCGGGGTATGTAACTATTGTTTTTATTATTAATAATTGCCTGATCTAATAGGCTTTGCAAGTCTCAAAGCTCATTTTTGACTCACAAACTGTTCCATTATCTTTACTCAGGAAGTTCACTTTATAGGTCCAAATTCACATATTCCCATAGTCACCACTAACCTTTCTCAGAGAGTAGCTCCATAGATATATATATATATATATAATTGATTTCAAGAAGGAAGGGAGAGACAGAAACATCAATGGGGAGAGAGAATCATTGATCGGCTGCCTCCTGCACACCCCTTACTGGGGAGCCCACAACCCATGCATGTGACCTAACCAGAATCAAACGCTGACCTCCTGGTTCATAGGTTCATGCTCAGCCACGGAGCCATACTGGCCAGGCAAGAAAGCAGCTCCTTTTAATACTCAATGCTGTAAGCCCTGGATGGGTGGCTGATAATATCCTAAAACTTGATGGACTCTCCCAAGGTCATTATTTTCAGGAAAAACTAAAAATCTACAGAATCCAAAAGGTAAGTCCAGAATCTACCAACTCTGTTTAGGACTCAGTTCTATGTCTCATAGTCTAAAGTAGAAGTATTTCCAAATATCTAAGCTAAGTTTATACTATAATTAGTTTTTCCTCTTGAATAACTGGTCATAAGTGAAATTCCAAACTACAGGTCAGAGCAGGGCTTAGGCTTAGAAATTGGAATTTGTCTTTTTCCATATTGGAAACAAAAATTTCTTTTTAAACAATTATGCCAGTAAATGTTACTGCTATTGAGATTATCTGGACACTAACTAGTTTTAGTTATTATTTATATATCTATACAAACTCACATGGATAGAGACAATTCTCTGTGAATTTCCCACAAGACTTTACCAATCCTATCAGATTTTTTTCAACTATCCAAAAATTAGGCAGAGGATCTCACTGATTAATTTGTTCTTAGTGTCTAAACCCTTTCCTAAGTATTTCCTTGAGAAATATTTCATAGACTTTATATAAACTTCAGGTTTTAAAAACAAGAGCAAGAAGTCAAAATAAAAAGAACACTAAATAATTATCTAGTCAGTAAGGATCTGAAACCCAAAGCGTTACCAATTTTTTCCCAATAATAAGTTCTTAACCTCAGCCACTGAACCACATCCCACTTTCCCATCAATATTTATGCAGATGACGTTATCTTCTAAAAGACTAGCTGAGCCCCACACTATATGTCTGTCCATTCTGTATACTTGTCAGTAATTACTGTGGAGCAATCACAAGAACAATCCAATTGTCCTTGATGGCATTAATCACCATCAACCACAAGGGTCCAGACTAGCCACCGATTAGTAAACTTATTTTTGTACTTGCCTAGAGCTGTGTTTTGTCTACCTTTGGGGAAGGAGAAAAAAATTTGAATTCAGCCACTCAGATTCTGTCTGGTAAGCAATACCTGGATATTTAGAAATATCTCATGAACAGGTAGATTTTTTAAATGATTTTTGTATAGGCACCACCATCAATTGCCTAGCAAACTAAGAAAAATAAGGGTCAGTGATTATTTTTAACCAGTAGGAGTCTACAATGTACCTCCTCTCCTTTTGACATTCACAGATAAGGTTCTCGATTATGCAATCACGGGGCAAACATCCCCTTAGACATGCTGAAGGGACAAGGTGGGTGGGAGACGTTCGTTTCAGTTACCTTTGCCCAGGCTTTGTTTGTTCTGCAGATAATAAACTTTGGACTTCTTTACCCAACCAGTCATCTTGCACAAACAGTAAACTCCCTCAAAACTTTCTGTTCCCATGGGACCCTTGAGAAAACAAAATGAAAAGGAAAACACAAAAACATGATTAAAATCTACTTTCTTCGGTCAACATCCTAAAATTGAGCAATTTCTCCACATCTTAAAAGAGATTGTCCTGGAGTCAGGTTGAGAGTTAGTAAACTCCCTATTGATCACATAACTGAAATCGGTAGTGACTGGAGTCAGAATTCTGAGGTGGCAAACGCTTGTTTTGTAACTGTTTCCTGTTCCTCCGCATAGCATCGTGAAGCCTTTATCCACATTCATCCTTCGTAAGCAGAACTTTTAGGTCATGCACTTCTCTCAACAACAACAACAACAGAAACTCAAGGTATATCTAATCTGTGTATTTTTACTTATAAATTACATATGTATTACTGTACTGTGTGCATCAAAATTATACCCCAAAATCTTTATTTAAGATGAACTAAAAAGGTTTACAATGTTCTTTCTGCACTGGGTTTTGGATTCTCCATGGGGTGTGGATATCCTACTTCTGAACCCACTGCTCTAAGAATTCAGTGACCTGTCTTCTCTCAAATTCAACCACCACCTTGCGTTAATTGAAACCTATTTTCAAGAAAAGATCTGCTATCAGCCATTATCATCTTTTGTGCATAAGGACTCATCATTATATTAATGCTTCCAGCAGGATTTGCATTTTAAGTATATACCTAATTATGAAAAGAAAGCTTTATTTCATGTTAATGTAATATCAGGAATGGCAACATAATTCATGATACTTGGAGGATGGAAATGTTTCCTGGTGGCCCTGAAATCAGAAAAGGGAAGGGGTGCCCCTTATGCAGTGAAGAGGCAGGGGCAGCACCAAACTTTGTACATAAGAAGGTTTTAGGGACAGCAAATTGATTAGAAGAGGGAAGAGTGGGGATGATGGCATGTTGGCTTGGAGCTTTTTCTTGAGGCCAATCCCAAGTTTCTTCTTAAATTATATGTTCATTTAGGGCTCAGAGTAGCAGATAGATATTATAGAGGAAGAACTTAAGTTCTCCAAACTATGTTTGTGGCTCCCTCTCAAACAGTAAAAACAAACCTTGATAAACTCCCACAAGCAGACATGGAAATTCAAAGGCTTAGTAGGTAGCCTCAATTTGAGGAGTAAGGCTTCTATAATTCAAGAAAAAAATCAGTTTTGTCCCCAAATAATCACAAGTACTTGCTTATAGCTCAAGAACTTAATGTTTGTTGTGAATTTATAAAAAGAATTTTCCCATATGTGCAATAATCTAGATTATTTTCATCTTTATAAATATGAAGTTAAGGTGTTTTAAAATCTAATCCATTAGACATATGTATTGATCATCAGGTAACTGTAAAATAGTCTACTTGATTTAAAGCTATAAAAACAAAGAAAAATGGAGCATGAATCTTGGCCATCAGCTGTTGAAAGCTGTCTCCTATATATATATATATGTATACATATACTACACACATATATGTACTATATACATATATATGTATATGTATATTTGTGTCTATAGAGAAGCTCCTGTCACCATTCAGTTTACCATCTAGTTGGACAAATCAGGTGCCCAAGAAAAGTTGTAAAGTGATAAATCTATTAGCAGGCACACAAAAAACGTAACACAAAACACATCAAATAAGTATGTGCTGGTCAAATGAAGAATAGGATATAATTAAAATCTATTATGAATATCCAGAGAAATTGGGGAAAGGCATTTTAGGTAGATAGATAGCATGACAACTGAAAAGATGTTTAATTTAGCAAATCATAAGCAGGGGACCCAAGGGTCACTAGTGTGAGGAAAGTATCCATATTGATGCAGTATGAGCTATGAAGCTGAACTTAATGGATTGATAGAGGAGCCTTGTTATATGACAACTGAGCCAAAATTCAGTTTTGCTTGAGACATCCCCTATAATGTCCTTTCTTTCTTTGTGCGATAACATAGGTATATAGGCATGCCATAAGAAGGCACCCTAGTTTCATGGCAGGGAACTTGACAAGTGTGCACAGGAACACTGCCTGCCCTTGGACCTTTGCAGGCTTTGACCTTTGTTTCTGACATGTCAAGGTATTTCTTGTGTCATCATGAGCCCCCTCCCCCAAGCCCTCCTAGCTGTTATCACTGAATGGACATGAACTATGCCAAAAATGATAAGACCTGAGATTTGCTGAGCAGCACCAATTCTTCTGTCAACATTCCTGTTCTGAAATCTCCTTTCACTTAACCTACCTCACCTTCCTTTAATGGCACAAGGGAGAAGAAAACTGAGGCAAATAATCAAACACGTCTCTCCAGAAGAGAATTCTCAGGGAGGGATCTAGAAGATTCTACCTGGCCACTTTATCCTGTATTGTCTGGGTGCCCTTCTTGCTTTGTAATTGTCACAAGTTGCTCTACCTGCACTGGACCAGAACTGCTCAAAAGAGGGAGCCCAGCAGGAGCAAAATCTGACTTTGCAGCTTCTCTTGTATTCCCTAGCATGTGTTTAAAAGCTAGTTCCAGCCTCCATGCACAGCAGGAACTCAACATGGTAAGCCACAGATGAATATCTGCTACGCTCAGACCATGTTTCAAGGAATGCATGATGAACCAGCTTATCGAGCTGATCATCAAGATATGGACCAGAAAGCCACAAGATGACCAGACCACAAATTATCAGAATAGCTGTTTGTCAATTCCATAACCCAATATACTTGATATTGGGGCTTGCTGTTTAGCATTTGATTGTAAAAACTGTCGAGTCAAACTGAAGTTAATTAAGCTGGATTTTAATCTCCCCAAGGGTAGAGGCTGTGCCTATTTTGTTCAACACTTTCCCCCAGCACCTATCATAGTGCTTGTCACATAGTAGGTGCTTGTGGTAGCTTGTCATTTAGATGACCGCCATCAGTCTCTTCCTTCCTTGAATGTACGAGCCATTCCACTATTGTAAGGTGAAATCTATTTCTCCGACTTCTGGAATCTGGGATGCCTAGGGACTGCTTTGACAAACAGAAGATAGAAGTAATCCACATGAAATCTAAGGGTAGGTCTTAAGAGGCTTTGCAATTCCTACCTGATTGTTTCAGAACACTTGTGCTGGAAGAGGCTGATCACAAAGAGAACAACAAGTTCTGAAGACACCCCAGCTATCGAGAGAGAGAGAGAGAGAGAGAGAGAGAGAGAGAGATTGATTGATTTCCGACTAACCCAATGACAGATACATGAGTGAGGAAACCTTTAGATGCCTCTAATCTCAGCTACCATCTGACTGCAATCATATGAGGGACTCCAAGCAAGAACTGCTCAGCTGAGCCCATCAACTTCAAGAACCAAGAGTGATAATAAATTGTTGCACTAAGTCACTAGGTTCTGGATAGTTTATTATACAGCAACAGATAACTGGAAAAGAGTTCTATGTTTATTGAATAGGTACATTAATTGATAAAAGAAGCCACTTAGAATAAAGAGTTCCCAAATAAACCCAATGAAATCCATTAAATAAATTATTAAGGTGATGTCAACAATGGTAAATATTATCAGAAAATTGGACAACTCTGTGGATAATTAAGGCCAAGAGGAAATCTGCTACAGAGTAGAGAAAGTAATTTTTTTGAGAGTGGAATTTTCCAGATTCACTAACCATCTTGACTGTATTCATTAGATGATTGCTCAATGCCCTACTTCCCTTTATACAAATTGTGTTTCAGCCATGAGTCTAGGTGCAAAGTAGGAGAAAATATATTAACCAACAAGGAACATGGGTAACCAATGTGCAGCCTGATTTTTCTATGAAGACTCTAACTCTTCTCTGTATTCTTTTAATTTTGTAAAATAGATTTTGGTCCAGATACACTATGTCAAACAACTAAATATAGCCAGAGATCAGGGTGGGTGGGAATGGGAAAGAGGCTAAATGCTGGACACTAGCAGCTGTTACATTACCACATTCCCCCATAATTGTGCTGGATACAGTCACCACTTGATAATGACAAAAAGATTAATTAGCGACATGATCCATATATTTCATTTCTTTGATGGTTCTAAATAAGTCTGAGTCATGCCACCATTATTTTTACCATAGGCACAGTAGTCTTACCCTTTTTTGGTGGGGAAATTATTTATCAAGAGGATGTCTTTAATCTTCCACAGAGTTTTACCTTTGTGCCTTTTCAGATGAAATCACACCAGGGTCTGGCCCTCCCTTTGCTTACGGCTGAACAGATCTTCCTAGTATCCAAACCCACTCCACCTCCTCTTCACTGAGAATACTCCACAACCTGCCCCAAGGTGAACTCATAAATCCTACATTACCAAAGAGATCCCAACTCCGCCAGAGCTCAAAGGTAGTGTTCAAAACAAGTGTACAAAATATAGAAACACTTTGACTAACGCTGCAGAGCCAACTTGATAACGCTGTTTAATACAAAAAATATGATTGAAAGTCTCCATGAATCCAATAAACTAGACTACTGTCGGATCCTCCTCCTTTTGGCTGTGCAGACAGGACCCAGAGCTCCAGCTTCAGGTCACTTTTTGAGCAGGCTAGAAAGGAAGATGGCTTGAGCTGAGGCAGAATCTAGGGCAGTCGTTAGGGAGAATTATCAGATTCTATGGACAGCAGTCCTTGAAATCCAACTTAAACACTCGGGGACAAGTTTATTATTTGCTGTTGATTCTGTTGTCATCCCATTCAAATCAAATCAGAACTATTTATTGTCTGGCATGGTCTGGTACTGGGAATAAAGAATTGATTAAGATCTGTCCTCAAGGAGCTTTTAAGAGAAAATGGGTTATGGAGGAATGGCCACTTGAATTTCCTATGGGAAGGACAAGAAACACTTGTGCCAGACCTTTCTCATTGAGACTCAGTAAGTACCAACCATTGTCCTGAGCTCCCACTGTGCCACAGGTCTGAGATCCTGGAAATCACATTTCCCGGCTCCCTTGCCAGTAAAGGTTCTTGGTATGATCTGTTGTTGAGAGGCACAATCATTGGAAGGTGGAAGGAAGAAACCACTTTGCTCTCTCGGCAGC